CCTGAGTGCTTTCCCTTCGCCCGTGTGGCCTTCCTTCCCGTGAACATCTAGTGTGGATGGTGAAGTTGAGGAGCTGTTTTAACAGGCACACTGGTTGTGACACCTACAAACACTTGGTTGGTGATTCTGTAGACTTTTCTTCCGCTGCGGCACTGAGTAAAGGCGAGAAAGAACACTCAGGTGATTGATCACACTGGCACTGAATAAAGCAAACCCGTGGCCGTGACCCGTGTAATAGTCAGCTCAGGCTGCCATACGCAGAATGCCACAGACTGGTTGGCTTCAGTAATAGAAGCGTGTCTTCTCGTGGTTCTCAAGTCTGGAGCCCAAGACTTAAATGCCAGCAGGGTTGGTTTCCGGCAAGGCTGTCTCTTTTCCTTCTTGTGGTCAGTTCCTTCTCACTAAAGTCTTCATGTGGTCCCTTTTCTATGTTCATTCAAGTACACACAGAACCCTCTAGTTTCTCTTGTTCTTCCTGGAACGATGGAACTCCTGTTAAATCAGGGCTCTCCCATGGAGATCAGCAAAGTCTGTCACATCATTTGGGGCAGGACCTAGCTGCCACTTCCCTCTCCCCATATCTAGGCTGAGAGAGTATCTCTCCATAGGGAATGGGCTCCCAAAGCCCATTCGTGCACTAGGGATAGATACTGGTTCCATACAGTATCTGTTTTATTTACCAGATTAGACCTGAACAATCAGGACTACCTTTGACCTTCTGCCTCTTTTTGCATATATAAATAATTTTCTAAGCAGGTTCAGAATTGGGACAAGAGGTGGCTCAACCATTAAAGGTCAGGCTCACAACCAGACATTGCCCCTAGATTTTTTTATCGCTTTGCATTACAGAATGCCAGTTGCAAAGTCTAATTCTGTACCTTGCAACCAATGTCCTACACAAACCACCACTAAGGAGCAATTTCAATGCTTCCATTGACAGGCAACTTACATTCCATTTTCACCCATTTTTTTTTCAGAAACATCTTTCTCAAATACAGATCAAATTGGATCTATGACAATTGCCCACTGGACTCTTCGTTCTGCTCTTTAAAAACTACTTCTCTGTAAATGTTTGCACCCTTGCATGTTGCTTCCCCAAATGCTCCACTAATGTTCTTTCCACCCGAGTCTCCCAAGCACCTTACCTTCTGGCTACCTCTGAAGCGCCTGTGGTTGGTAGTATCTTCCTACCATGTGGCCTCAGCAACTGAACCCCAGTCTAGTGAGCGTGGGGTTAATAGGAATGCTATAGTCAACTAAAACTGCAACCCCTTTTAATTAATATTTGTGCCACTTTTGTCATACTTCTCATGACTATTTGGGTAGTTTATTTCTCCTTATTTCTCAGAAATCGATCATTTATCTGTATTAAACTCTATCTTGTCCTTATGTGGCCGTCATTTCAGCCAGAAGAAATTTCTGTATGTTTTATATGCATTATTCTATATAGATGCTCTCCCCAGTGGTCATAATCCACCTTAAAGGTGGCTATTAATACTCTTTAAGGTTTCAGTCAATTTTCTCATCATTATTTGAGGAGGGCACATCAGAGCTAGTGACACAGTACTTGGTAGTACCTTCCTGCCTGGAATTTGACTTATTGATAGTCATTTCAGAACCACCCCACATCATATTTGTATCTCTTACTCTAGTCTTGAGGAAAAATAGTTTTCTGTTCTCTGAGCTACAGTAGAAATGAAGAACAAGGAGCTGGAGAGATGACCCAGCAGTTAAGAGCACTGACTGCTCTTCCAGAGTACCCGGGTTCAATTCCCAGTACCAACAAGACAGCTAACAACTGTCTGCAACTCTAAGATCTGACACCCCCCCACATACATACATACATGAAAAATACCAATGCAAATAAAATAAAAAATAAAGTATTTTTTAAAAAGAAAAGAAATGATGAACATTGGAATCAAGATGAATTCCTTGCTGGACAGCATCCATGCTACATTGAGTCCAGTTTTCATTCCTCCCATCTGACAGCTTCCTTTATTTTTTTCATCTTGTTTATAATGATACTATTCACAGAACTCTTTACCTTCTCTGGGAAACTAGCACTCCTCTTCTTTCCCTTGACTCCAAGCATTAAGCTTTAGAATACATCGAGACTAGCATACCACCTTTAGCATATCACCTTAAGATGCTTGGTTTTGTTTGAACATTACATGGCACAGTTGGGCACAGGAAATAATCAAACAAGCTTTCACTAGCAGTGACTTGATGTGATAACCTATTGGTTTCCTCCATAAATGTGTTGTGACTAATGTCCAATTACTCACTTCCTTTGAAATGGATTTATAAACATAGCCTGTATGCACAGTTTTTGAAACTCCAAGTTGTGGACTGAATGAAGCCTTATTCTGAAAGTAGTAGACTGTCCCATGCTGTTATTTAGAGATAACTGTTTTTCCGGATGAGTAGCACTTACAAGTGGGTTTCCATGTAGTACCTCTGAGATGTAGGTAGTGAACAAAGCCAGACCAAGTGTTCTTTGGATACAAGAGTCATTGCTGCCCCTTTCCTGTGTCCTCTGTCTATCTTGACCACATACAAGAAGAGTGCTGTAGTGATGGTGACAGTGTTGAAAATCTATTCACATGCTCTTCTTCCAAGATCCGTTATAGTCCTGTCACCATTTGATAAAGGCATTTGATCACCACTTTACAGTTAATGTCCTATAGCTGTCACCTGTGTTCTTCCTTAATGCCCTATACAAGAGATTTTGTATTAGATAATCCCATTCATTTGGGTCTGTGAAAACATACCATGACAGAGGTTCATTCAGACTATCATTCTGTAGTTTCTCCCTAGGGCAACCCCACAATGATCTAAAACCTCCCATTGCACTCTGTTAGACGTAGTAGCATCAAGCTGGCAATCAAACTTTTAACATAGGGACCTTCAAGGATATCCCAGACCCAGACTCTAGGAGATTGCTCCTGGTGAGAGTAAATTGTCAACTTGATGGGATCTAGAAGGGTCTTGGAGACAAACTTCTGGGCATGTCTGTAAGGGAGTTTCTAGATTTAGAAAGGCCCTCTCTAAATGTAGATGGTACTAGTTCATGAGTCTCAGAATGAATAAAAGGAAAAAGTAATCTGGGTACCATTATTTGGGGGAAATTTTATCAAGATAGAATTTTTTTTCTATATCAATCTCACAATTAACAAAAGTATAATTTAGGAGTAGAAAATTTTTTTAAATAAAACTGTATGAAATTATCAGCTTTCAACCACTCTTACGAAAAAGCTAAGCCTTTTACTTTAGGAAATATGAAAGATCCTTTTCTTTGACGCTTCTTAATTCCTTGTGTTTGCATAGTTTGTTTGTTTTCCCTCTTCTAAAGGAACTTTCATAGCAGGATGAATTTCCGCATTGTCCAGACCTAATGATAGCTACCCCCCAACCCCGCCTCAACTCTGTGTGTGTGTGATCTTTGGTTGGTTGGAAAGGGGTCCTGTACATGTCCTAGGGCCCCGAAGAGAGGTGTGATGATGTGAGCAGTTTGGGTGGAGTTGTTATGGCCATGAGCAGGCACTGTGGATGCGGACTCAAAAGTGTGGTACCCTCTTCGGGTGCAGATTCCTCACCTGCTAGAGAAGGTGCATAGCCTCAGGCTGTGCAGGGCTCACAGCCACTTGTCCATCCAGAACAGTCCTTAGGGCTTGTCTGAGGACCCCTGAAACCCTCCTCTAAGGTCGGGCCCTATTTCAAAGTAAAACTAAAATGATTTTGGAATGAAAATCAATCTGCATGTAGGCTCCCTTTCTCTATGCTAGTGATAATCCCCCTCAAGGCAGTGTGGATGTTACTGAGTGCCATGCCCGCTGTAAAGGAGACGAAGAGGAAAAGCCAAAAGGTGAACATCTTGGTACGATGCAGGGCATTGACTTATTTGCTCTCCACAGGGGAACTGGGATACAGAGGGGAAGCGTCCTATCTGTTTTACAGGTGGAGAAATGCTGAGAAGATCTGATAAGGGGCCAAGAGCTGATAGGATCCAGGCTTCCTGGCAGTCATCCATCTCCTCTATCAACACAAAACAGTAGCAGTTTTAGGCCACACTGGTCCTCACCCCCCCCCACACACACACACAGTGTACTCAGCCAGAGAACCAAGGCTGTGTGTTCTGGCTGCGCTAAGCACACTTCCAGGATATGCAAAGGAATTCCAGGTTGTGCTTACTTTGTGTGTTCCTGGGGCAAGGGTGGGGCAAGCATTCAGAGAAGAAAGAAATATTGGTTAACCTCACTTGTAATTCAAATGAATTTTTTTTGAGGTAGTGTCTCACTACATAGCTGAAGCTGGACTAGAACTTATTCTGTAGGCTTGGCTGGCCTTGGGTGTTCAATCTTCCAGCCTTGGCCCCCTGAGCCCTGGGGTTATAGGCATGTACTTCCCCACACCACTGCTTCTCTGGTGCTGATCTTTTATTCTTCCTGGCATTTTGACATCTAAGTAAAATTCTGACGTAAGAAAGGTTTCACTCCTAGAAATCTGACCTAAGGTAAAGCAAGGCTGGATTTTAGAGCACCAGGTCTACACGCTTTCCCTGAACCACACCTGTACTCATAGAGAAAGGTGTTTTGGGAAGATCCTAAGGGACAAAGGTAGCATTCTCTGGGAGGAGGGCGTTCTTTATATACAATATATATATCTTGTTTTTTTTTAATTTAAATTAGAAACAAGCTTGCTTCACATGTCAATCCCAGCTCCCTTTCACTCCCCTCCTCCCCCCATCTCCCCACTCCCCAACCCCCTACCCAATCCCAACTCCACTCTCCAGGGAGGGTGAGTCCCTTCCTGGGGGATAAGGGCACTCTTAAGTAGTCATGGATTAGTTAAGTTGGGTTCAAGATTTCAAAACGTTATAGTTCATATTCCTTCAACAAATCATACACAAAATGTATATCTAGAAAGGAGGAAGCAAGCAGTTAAGAATTGTTCTCATTAATACTCCCTGATTTTTTAGATAATAGATTGTGCAAGTTAAATTGGTTGATCAGGTACCATTTAATGCATTAGTATACTTGAGAGAGATCCTCTGTCAAGGCTTTATTCTGATTAACTCATAGTTGCTGGGAATGTGTTTAGAATTTCTATAAATCAAAAACCCTGTGTTTACTACTTACCATTTATGGCACATGTGATATTCAGGAGACAAAAGGGGTGTCTTCACATATTTAAGTGGATGTCATATGTAAAAGGAGTCTAGTTTGTTAAAAAAAAAAAGGAATTGAAGATATTGGCTTAGGACCAATGGAGAAGGGTCTCAGGGAAAGATTTAAAAATAAAAGCAACAGCAACAAATAAAAGACTAAAATTTGAGAGCTTTCTGAAAATTGAGGGGGTAATCTCACTGACCCTGTGGATGTTAGCATGGAGGCTGGAAAGTCACTGAGTTGGCACTTGTTTTAGAGATGGCGTTGAAACGAACTAGAAACTCTCAGGTGAGGGCTCTCTGACCAGCAAATAAGTAGCCATTTAGCCCCTGTCCAGTGTGTATCATGACACAGGCTTCCATTGTTCTGCTGCCAGCTCCACAAGTCACCGTATGTTCTCGATGTCCTCAGAAAGCAGTAAGAAATGGCTCCTGGAACAACAAATATTTCTTAGAGTGCAGACTCAGAAACATTGCATCCATTTCTTGGGGGACTTTTAGTTTATTTTTGTCTCCAATACGTAAGCTGGTAGCAGTCCATAATCTTGTATATATTCTCCATGAGCAAAGCATGTGGCAAAAAGAAGCCAACTGAGAAAGACTTCTCTTCTTCTGGGGGACATTGACATCTCAGTTCCCTTTCTTTTTCTTTCCCTTTATCTCAGGCTATTAACTGACTCTGACAGCCAAGAAGCAGTACCTCTTCTGACTATAGAAAGATTGATGTAGAACCTCTCCCAGAGATCTTGGCATCTTCATAGCAAGTTCTGGTTGATTAAAGCGAAGTGAAATAAAACTCTAACCTGGTAACTTACTCCTGTAGAAACCAGCTCTATCACTGGCAGGGGGAGGTTTGAGGGACAGGGAGGAGAAGAGATAAGAGCCATCCTGGCTTATAGACCATCAGATATGGCTACCTGGACTATCCCTGAGAAGAAAGCACTGAGCTGCTATCATTTTGCTCATTTCCAAATAGAATTGTAGAGTAGAATTTAGTTACTGATGACACTGGGTGCATGGATAATTTGTGTCTTTTCTATCATAAGCATGTGTATTCTCTGTGAAGCCTCCTCTCCTCTCTACACAGAAGACTCTGTTCACCAAGACATATGGCCATACCAGATGCACTCTCATGCAATGGCCTCTGTAAACCGCCTGAAGCATCATTGGTGATTTATACCCTGAAAGCCCCATGAGCACTTGTAATCTTGGAAATAGAAGGATTTTTTAGTGGAATTTCTGGTTCATATTAGATCTAATAAAAATATCTTCATGGAGACAATCTAATTTATACCCAATGATGTAATTAATAGATATCCTGTCCCTAATGAGAGGTAGTCCAGGCCTGGGATCTGCCCAAGGATGCAAGGGGTGAAGTGACTTTCACTTTCTAGGGTCAGTCTGCTCCAGATGGCTGCTTTTTATCCCCCAAAGAAGCAGTTAATCCACGAATGGTCAAATCATCCCATGTTGTGGGACATCAGAGCACAGAGTGCGCGTTTACAGAGCCGGAAGTAGCCAGCAGTTCCTTTTCACCCGGAACCTTTTACTCTCTGTAGTGGGACGAGCATCTAAATGAAGTTTTCCCACACAAAACGTCTTTGGTGGTCTTAGCGGATCTGTCAAAGGTCATTGGTTAAAATTCCCCGAACTGGATAAAAGGAGAATGTTCTATAACCCTGAATGTTCTCAGGAGCCCAAATCTGACCTTCCATTCCCAGAAAGCCACAGCCCTCTGTGTAAGCAGCTGGCTTGCCTGCTCCCAGCATTCTTCAGCTAGGAATGACTAGCCTCGGGCTATTTGATCTTCCGCTTGCTAAAAAATTAACATGAACTCTCTGGTGCTGAGCAAAAGCTGTGTATATTTCCATTCAAACAGCATGGAAACATTCATGAGTACTTATTTTTCATCTTCAATTTATTATGCACCAACTTGCTTAACTGGTCAAGTCCTGGAAATATTAAAGTTAATAGAGCTATGCTTGTTTCTTCCTTTTGTTCTGGAGAGCCAGCCTAGTAGTTTTTCAGTGAGTTATCTGCAACTTGACCTATGCTTCCTTGGGAGTTTGTGTAGGTGTGAGTCTGTGGGAAATTTGGGCAAAAGAATAATAACCGCCTTTGGAAAAGCAATCCATCTCTCCTTTCTCTAAGCATTCCATATTCCTTGAAGGGAAATCTTTCTGTTTGCATGGAGTGAAAGAGTAAGTCCTGTCATGTAGACTAACAGCCTAATCAATACCATTGTTTCAAGTCTTGTCACAGTTTTCAAGTCCCTATCAACATCATGCTTGACAATTAGAAATAAAATATTATGAACATAAAATAACTTGAGTTTTTCTGAATTAGCTCATCACCTCCAAGTGAAGTGGTTTCCATTCACTTACGGGACCATCTTTAGTGATCCGTTTCAATTGCTGTAATAACTGCTCCCCTTTTTCTTTCTTGAGACAAGGTCTCTTAATGAATCAGGAGCTCACTTATCTAGCTAGACTGGCTAGACCAGCACGTCCAAGATCCTCTCTCTTGTGTCTGCCCAAAGCTGGATTACATCAAATCCAGATTTTCACATACTTGGGATCCAAACTGAGGACGTCATGTGTATGTGACAAACACTTGACTGACTGATCCCACCTCCTCAGCCCCACAAATAAAGGCTGCTGCTCCTTACTGCTAAGTTGTTTTTGCCTTTGAGCCTTTGTGAAGTAGGGTAGACAAATGAAGATGCTTGCTAAGCATCTGGCATTGGGAACCATGCATGCTCCATTGAGAGGTGGAGTGCTTTGCCACACCTCGTTCACTCTTCTCTTCCACAGACTAGACTAGTGTGGATCTGAGCTTAGACACATGCACACCCATTCTCTCTACTCGAACCCCCTCCTCAGAATCTTACCGGGTGGCTTCATTCACTTCACTGGTCTTCTTCACCTTGCCCGTGTGAAACACCAGTCATCCCTGGTGACGATAGTGGTGGTGACAATGGCCACAAAGCAGCTAGTCTTTTCTCTGAGAGGCAGAGATCCCTTACCCCATCCCCACATCTTACAGATTCATACGGGCCAGCCGTCCTGTCCTCCTCAGACACCTTTGGACACTCTTGCCACATTATGAAAAGATTTCTTCAGTCTGGTTGCCTTTATGATGACTCTACATTTGAAAACAAAAGCAGTCCACAAACCTCAAAATGTAAAGATTTCGACTTTGATTTCGCTGTGCTACATGAGCTAAGGAGAGTGTTCGGAGTCCGTCCCTCTGTGACCATGGTGCCACATTCTGTAGGGGAAGCCGAGTAGAGGAAGTGGAGTTTGGCTTTGTGGGGTGACTTGGTGTGCGCAGGTCCAGATGGGAGGTTCAGCTGCACAGGGTGTTCTCTTGAACATAGCTTAGTTTTTTGGGGCAGCAATGTCCCTATCTATAAAAAGACAAGTGAGAAGAACAGTAAAACCACACTCAAGGACTGTGGCAGGCATACATACATACATACATACATACATAATCACCATTAGAGAATGAGACAGGTGAGAATGCCTCGCCGTCATATGAAGAGCTAGCATGTACCCACAGGACAATGGAGAATGCAATCCTGTTAATAGCATACTAACTTGTGGGAAATAGATTATCAGACTGAGGTCCAGACACGGAGATTTCTATATTTTCTTGGATGCTATACTTGATGGGAGAGGTTACTATTATCAGATGCCACCACTTGGGATTCTTAGAGCTCAGAAGTTTATTGCTTCAATGCGCTGGAGACTGAGAGTCCATAATTAAGTTACTGGCTGGGACATACTCCCTCCTAAACCTTCAAGTGAAGGACCTGTGCTGGTTAAGGTTTTGTTGTCTTGTTTTTGTGAGCTCGACAATCTAGGGTTATCTGAGAAGAGGGAACCTCAGTTGAGAAAATGTTTCCATCAGACTGGCTGGTAGGCAAGTCTGTAAGGTGCTTTTTTTGATTAATGATTGATGTGGGAGGACCCAGCTCTTTCAGGATGGTGCTATTAAACATGGCCTGGGCTGTATAAGAAATCCGGGGAACCAAGCCAGTAAGCAACGTTCCCCCAATGTCCCGGTTTCAGCTTCTGCCTTAGCTTCCCCTAAGGATGCACTATAAACCTGTAAGCCAAAAACCTTTCTCCCAAGTTGCTTTTGGTAGTGATGTGTATCACAGAAATAGCAATCTAACTAGGGGGAGGATTCTTCTTTCTTCCTTCCTTCCTTCCTTTCTTCCTCCTTCCTTCCTTCCTTCATTCCCTGCTTCCTTCCCTCCCTCCCTCCCTCCCTCCCTCCTTCCTTCCTTCCTTCTTTCCTTCCTTCCTTCCTTCTTTCTGCTGTGGATGGCTTGGGTCTTGCTTGGCTTGTGATAGTATGATGTCTCTCTTCTGCTCTATCTTCACTTCACTGTCCCTGAATTGTCCAGTGTATGCACCCATGTGTACATCCAGAGGTCAAAGCTTGGAATTAGAGTTATCGACTCAAGACAGGATTACACTGAAGGCCTGCTGCTGTGGGCTTGGCTGGCTGGCCAATGAGATTTAGGGAGCTGCTTTCTCTCTCACACAGAACTAAGGTGATGGCCAAACACAGTCATGCTTGGCTTCTTGGGTAGGTGCTGGGGATTTGAACCCAGGTCCTCACACTTGCAAAGCAAGCACACTTACATACTGAGGCATTTCCCAGTCCCAAACTTCTCCTTTTAATAACATCACTAGCATATGGCATGGGTATCCACATTTTTGGTGCGAAGTTGGAATTTATTATGGAAAGATTTACATAGATGTAAGCTTGGGTTTGAAGAGAGAGGCTTAAGAAAAGGACTCGAGTAATGCCAAGGGTGAGTGTGACATTAAACATAACCTGACTATCTCTCTAAAGACTACACTTCCAAATGTTCAGTTCTGAGGGACTGGGGCTAAAATTTCAGCATACTTTCAACCCATTTTATCAGACATATAACCTTCAGCACCACAGGCAAAATCCCCTCAGTGTTGTGGCATTTATAAACTGTTCTTGGTTGGAATCTTTCCAAACTATGAGGTCACATATTATCTGTGGCCTTCTAATTTGATACAAATTTGCTGTCCCGGTACAGGTGCTTTCTTCTGAGGTGTGTCCTTGCTCAGTAGCCCATTTTACTGTCTTAAAATGTCCGCGCCACCCACGCTACGCTAGAATGTTTTGGTTGCAGAAGTAATTTGTGCTTACTCTAACAACTAAATCTCTCTTGCACTTTCTCCCCTTATCTCCACCCCAATACTACAGTGGTACTCCCAACCCCCTGCCGGTCCCTCAGCCTTTCCCTCCCTGCTCAGCCATGTGAAAACACACCTGTCAACTCGGTTGTTTATTCCTACAGAATGAGACTGCGCCTGTCAGGGACTTTCCCTGCTTCCGGGCCATGCAGACAAAGAGATGTTCCTTTGTGAAAGCTGCAGAAGATGAGGATGACTACCTGTTTTCCATGGCTCACTTGCTGGTGGGAATTTAGATCGCCGTTTCCCCGTTTTGGGCTCTGGGGAACGATGAGAAGAGGTGAAGCTCCTGTCTTTGTTTCCTTACTGTGCAACTCCATCAGGCACTGTTTTTTTTTTTTTAAAGAAAACAGCCACAATGATTACACATCAGCTCTTAACACCAGCACTAATGTCTGGGAGGATTTCAGAGTGCGGCCGTGAGCTGGCCCACCCACTATTGCTCTGATGCTTTTTGCCTGCCTTGGGAAAGCACAAAAGACTGCCAGGGACCAAGAGGGAGCTTCAAAATGAGGTTGGGAGCTTCCTCAAGCCTTTAACTTAATGGTGCCGGAGTCTCATTAGTTCTCTGTAGCATTGTTCCTTTTGTGAGCTGAGAATAAGCCTTCTTATGTCACGTATTCCAAGTTCTGTTCCCAATTAGACTGGACAAGTGAGCTCTTCAGGAAAATAATTAGAACAGACTAAAGGTAAACAGCATTTTATAAGTAAGCTTAAAGTCATGCCACCCTCCGCTTTAGGGCAATTTCAGGGCTTAGTCTGTGTATAGAAACATCACCAACAGGCACCCAGACATTGTGTTCTAATAGCAGGTTAGCATCACTCATAGAAATGGGTTCTATTTTCAGAATAAGCCACACAGGAGCCTTAGCAGCTCTTGGTCAATAGCCAGCTAGTATACTGCCGTGACCCGGGATAACCTGCCAGCCCACAGGCAGGACGTGAACGTGTAGGTTTATGTATTTTAACTGACGAGGCATGGGGCGTGACTAGAATTGGAGAGACAGAAGCAGGGCTTCCTTGGATACGATACCGCCATGTTTTTTTGTTTGTTTGTTTGTTTTCTCCTCTTTAAAAGCTTATAGCAAAAACTAATGAACCTTAAATAGTATAGAAGTCCCCAGAGGCAGCCGATAGCACATGTCCTATTTTCAAGATGTTTTGTTATCTGAGTCAACCAAGGTAACAGAGTATTACATATAGTATAATGCTGTGTATTTTATGTAATGAACTATAATATAAATGACACACAAATATGTAGATACACATGTAGACATGGGCATACACATATATTTAAGAATTAATTGGTCTGAGAATGAAGGAGTACTTCATGTTCTGGAATTTTCCTTCTCTACTCAGCAGCATACCTTCAGCATACTTATTTACCTGCGCTGTTCTTACCAGCTTCCACCACCTAGTTCTCTTTGGACTGTGACATAACCCGTTTCCCCATCCCTGGCCGATAGACACTTCTGTACAGATTCAGTGTTGCGATAGTACAGCCAGCACCACAGGCAACATCTTCATATGACTATGTGAAGTCAGGAGCTTAAATGTTCCCGTGTGCAGTAGTACACATCTGTTGTGTCAGTTACTTGGGAGGCTGAGGCCGGCATATCATTTGATTCTCAAAGACTGCAGCCAGCCTAGGCAACATAGCAAGACTCTGCACACAGAAAACATCAAATTATACTAACAAATTGATTCACAACTATTGTATTTCTGGAATTTGGGTCATGCTTCATTATTCACGGTATAAAAAATGATTCTGGCATAACTTTTGTTTTAATTTTATTTCCAGAGCTGGAGAGATGGCTCAGCCGTTAAAGGCTAGGCTCACAACCAAGATATTTTATTTCCACTTAAATCTGTGATCTATATGAAAATTTTAGCAGAATAATAAATAGAGATGTATCCTGGTACAGCCACCATCCTGGCATTTATCATTCACTATCTGTCTTCCCTGCCTCCATTTTCAAAGGCTTCATTTACAATATTCAAAAATACCCATATATGCACGGCTAATTGAATTCTGTATTTGTGGCCATTTTGTCTCTTTCTGTGCTAACCTCAGACTATTTCATTTACCGTAGCTTTGTAATACATTATATAATTTTGAAGTCTGATAGACTTTTGTTTTCCCATTCATTTTTGCACCACCTTACAGTTTTCTTAACACAATTTTATTTTTTCCATGTGGTTTTGGGAATGACTTTCAAACATTTTCTCAAACAAAAAACCAAAAACCATATTTGTGCTTTGTTTGTGATTCATACTTTTTGAGTGTGGGGAAATCATGTCTTGATAATGTGGAGTGTGCACCCCCGCCCCAGGGCATTGGATGCCATTTCAGTTATTTTATGAGCAGAGGGGAAGACTTAAGCGTTCTTCACCTGAGACCTGGAAAGATTATATTGCCACTCCTTGGGTATTTGACTGATTTAAAAAAATCATACATGAGTGGGATGTTTCCTATTGGGTTCTTGGTTATACAAAGGAAAAACTACTGGTTTTAATATTCTAACTTCATATATTAGCCAATACCTTACTCAGTTCTCTACCATTTCTCATTAAATTTTCATTGATTGTCTTGAGATCCTCAGCTCCACAGTGATGTTGGTTGTAAATACTACAAATTGTTGTCTCTCAGTCCCTCCATAGAATTTTATTTTTCATCTTTATGATCTGTCTGTTATTATAAAGACAATGGTATCCTTTGTTTTCTACATCACATGGTTTAATTCTTTCAAACTACAGGTTATAGTACATTCATGGAGTACTAAATCTTTTATTCTGAGCTGAGTAAAATTTATAAAAAATGAAAATTTAAAGTGAATAGGGAAATACTAGAGAATTACATATTCTAACCACTGTGAATTTTGTTTCAGGTGCACACACACACACACACGCACACACTCACAAACACACGTTTCCTGGGTCACTGAACAAAGTTAATTTCTTACTGTAAAATATGATGAACAAAAGTTTGAAGTATATTCTAATAAGTGGTTTCTGTCTGGATTTTACAAATTCTTTCTTTTCTTGCCTCTGGCACTTGGAGGATGCATACCCTTTCCTCCTGGCTCCATCTCCCTTGCTTCCTTCAAGAGGAAGACCACAGAGTAAAATCATGGTCCCTTGCCACCCTTTGGAGGGGATGTCAGTGTATGTCCTAAGCTGAAATCTGATGCTATCATAAGAATTTGAAGGACAAGGAGCACTGAGTCAAGCTGTTGGATATCACAGAGGCAAAAGAGTGATTTGTTGAATTCAGCATACTGAATATGTTCAGATACTCTTAGTTTATTTGCTAAGCAGATATAAAAATTGCAGACCCCAACTGTATTTACCACCCACCTTCCTGACCACTTCAGTAGATGATATTTTCTAGAATACAGAGCTAGGTGAGATGCAACCAGGGTACAATCCCTGGAGTGTCCTTGTGCCTGTATGTTTATGGACTGCCTTCCATATACAAAGGCATGTCATAGAGCATGGGAATAAATGAGGTTGTAATCTTGGTCTAACAGGTTCATCTTGGGTCTGCCTTTGGTCTGTTACACTATAGTTATTCAGGTTGCTTTCATCTAATCTAGTATTCTAGTATCTGTTAGTTAATGCAAGAAGTAGAAAAGGCTTGTTCTAGTTTTCTTTCTGTTGCTGTGATGAAACATTGACCCAAATCATCTTGGGGAAGAAATGGTTTTTATTTTATTTTGTAACTCCTCAGTCGCAATCACTAAGGGAAGTCAGGGCAGAACACAAGGCAAGAGCCCAGAGGCAGGAACCGAAGCAGAAGCCATGGAGGAATGTTGCTTACTGACTTGCTGTCCCTAGCTGGCCCAGCTAGCTTTCCTATACAGTTATGGCATGTTTGTCTAGGGATGGCACCTCTCACAGTGTTCTGCCTTTCTCAAATAGCCATCAAGAAAATGCCCCTACAGATATGCTCACAGGCCCATATGTTGAAGACCAGTCCTCAGTTGAGGCTCCCTTTTCCAGTGTGTCGAGTTAACTACTGAGATCAGACATCACAGTGCTATAGAATGAGTATTGTTTGCTTGTATTTCTCTGCGTACTGGCAGCTGGCCATACTCCCAAATCCATCAGCCTAGAACCAGGCTCACTGCTATGCTAAACATCGGACTCGATTGGGTTTCTCTGCGATGCTCGCCACACACAGCTCTGTTGACATTAGCTTGAGGAGGGTCCCACCAGCTCAGTCAGTACTTTACATCCCTACTTCCTCCTTTCTGTCCTGTGACCTTTCAATGTATGCCGACAATTTTCCTCTTCTTCATGCTTGACTGACGAGCACCAGACAGAGAGAACGAACCAGACTGGTCAAGCTCACCTCTAGTGTACAGGGCAATGATGTCGCTCTCTTGTGTCATCTTTACTTGTGCAATTTTGGTTGTCTGGGGGCGCTGCACCCGCTTAGCACCTGCAGCTGGATGAGAGCAGAGCAAGCAGTCACGCTGACTCACCTCAAACCCATCATCATTAAAGACAGCCCCCAGTGCTACGCATTGGCTACGCAGCCTGCCACTAGCCCTTCCTGCTCTCCGGTTCCATCCATACGTTCTGTTCCTCCCTTGAGCTATGGCATCTCTCCCAACCTCCTCCTCTACTGATGACCTTGTGCTTTATTTCAATGAAAAGACAGGAGCCATCGGGAGCAAGTCCACAGCAGCCCCATTAGCGAATCTCTTTTACCCACCTCTGCCTTCCGCCTGTGACTTCGAGAATGACTATGCACCTGCCTTTGCCCAACCCCAGTCTCTTGTGCATTCGGTTGGTCTCTGCCTACTCAGGGCATACCTTCAGCAGTTCTCCCGGTTCTTACGTTACCAGTCGCCTCCATCTCTACTGAATCACCCTCATTTGCAATACAGATGTCCTCTCATCCTGCACTGTTACAACATCCTGGGTGGATGCTGCTTCCTCCTCCTGTCGGTCTCCCCCTTCCATTTCAGCCTGTGTTCGTCACTCGTTTGTGCTGTGACTACGTTCAGGGTGAAGCCTATGGACTCCTCCTCAGAACAACATTTCCCAACGCTTCAAATGAAACAGGACTACAAAAGGAACACGTGTTATAATTATCAGTAATAATATTTTTCAACTAATAGGATATGATAACGTTTTCCTTTATTGATATATTAATGCATTTAATGTGAAGGCAAGCTAAAATTCCATCTTAACTGTTAAGTAAAAATAAAGCATACCACTGCAAAAGTTCTCTCTAGTTATAACCCTTGTGCTACTTATGCTCCAAAAGTCTGTGCAGTATTATGAGAGTTAAGATTCTCATCGGATCTGTTAAATTTAAATGGTAAGAATGATTCAATGCTAACATTACATTAAAAACTGGTAGAAATACAGATAAGCCACAGCAGAGTCAAGAGTCTCGGTGTTTCCCCATCCATATTAGTGTTCTTCCCAGGTCCTTCAGGCCATCATAAGAGCCCTGCTTCTTGCAACAAGAACATGCTCTGTTCTCTGCCTTATCCATCGCCCTTGCTATGTGGGGCTCTTTTCATCAAGATTTTGACCACATAATCCTTTGGAACTATTCTTAGTGAGGTCACCAATGACTTTTGTATTGGTATAGACAATAGCATTTGAGATGAACTTTTTCCTTGTGTACATTCTTTGTACTTGGTATTTGTTATATAAGACATGTTAAAACAAGGGTATATTTTATATTGAGTACTTTTTAAACAAAAATTTAATTAGCATGTTCCATATTGGGTTTCATCATAGCATTTTCAAGCGCAAGGTTCGTTTCTGTTGACTCTCCTCGCCTTCCTGCCTCACTTTGCATGCTTCTACCCACCACAGACTCTCCGTTTTCATGTCTCATTGCCCTCCCTCCCCTTCCACAAGACCTCTTGTGGTTTCCTTCCTAGCTTGGAGCCTCTCCCCTCACTCTCCCCACAGGCAGCCCACACTCAGCCCATATAAACATGACAAGCTAGGACCCACAAGAGAGAGACCCAGAGCTTGACTTTGATGCAGTCCTCCCTTGGACTTTCCTCTGGCCCTTAAGGTTCTCAGGTGTTAAGGGGATGCCTTCTCACCTCACACCTAAATCATGAGGTGAGTCAGGACTCAACCCTTCCATGTCTTTTCTTTCTATCTGTATGCATCATTTTCTTCATCTCTCCTAAGTCAGAGCTTCAGCCACAACCACGCTCCTGAATTTCAAGGGCCCATTCACTGTCCCCACATGGCTGCCTATTAGAAAAACTAATTTCCCACGCAAATTTGAGCTCCCAGTGTTCTTAAACCTGCTCTTTCTTTTGGTCTCTCCTTACCCAACTAATTTTAGCTCTATTTTTCTAGAAACCCCAATGCCATGCTAACTCATCAGCAGTGCTCATCAATTCTAGTGTCAGAGTATATATTAGAGAGGACGACCATGTCCCTCTCCCACTGTTGCTCAGTCATGTGATCCTCTAAGGCTGATTCTCTGGAAGAGGGCCCCCACCTTCTCATTGTCCCCCCAACCCTTTATCCTCTTATTAAGTTTGGAAGTTTAGCAGTCTTATAAGCAACTCATTTAATTCTGCTTCTTTGAATTCAGAAACAGTGTGCACAGTACCTAATGATATTCAATGCTCCCAGGCACTGCTAATGGATATGATTCCACAGTGACGGTTGTTTCCTGTGAGTGGCTTGTGGAGCTCATTCAGTAGCAAAACCATGAATATAGCAATATTTTAAATGATTCTCTGTAAGTTTGAAACGTGGCATCTCAATTTTAGGAGCTTGTTATTAAAGGACACTCAAATTGTTTCAAATATTCAAATGAAATCATGACCTACATCCCTCAATATTAAGGGACTGTGCTGTTTCTGTTGTGTGACTGCCAGATACGTTGAATGTGTTAATTAACATCACCTTCTTCTAGTAGTCTTTTTCTTCTATTAATCAGAAATTAACAAAAATGCCTCCAATAGCGTCATAGTGCAGGCAACTTTTTAGCAATTAGTTAGGACTCCTGTTCAATAAACTATTGAAAGGTTGTTATATGCCAAGGATTCTCCTGGGTGCTAGGACATAAGTAAAGCCAGGGATGTCTCAGGAGATCCAGATGAATAAGGAGGCAGGGGATACAGGAAGTAGGCACAGTTGCATAGGGGGTGGGATGTTCCGCTCTGTGTGAGGGGCTCTACAGGCTCCATCCTGACGCTTCCTCTAGGGTCCTTGGAAAACGATCTGTTCTTGGTTACTATGTCTAAGGGACCATCCATGCCATAGCCAATTCTGTTCCTAACAGTACAGGCCTAGAATCTCCAAAGGTGAAAAATACCCATCTGGGTATTTTGTTTGTTTGTTTGTTTTTTTGTTTTTTTGCTGGAAAAATGCCCATCTGAAGCAGTCCAAAAAAAGTGGACTCTGTTCTTTCCCTTCCTTCCTTCCTTCCTTCCTTCCTTCCTTCCTTCCTTCCTTCTTCCTCCCTCCCTCCCTCCTTTCCTTCTTTCTTTCTTTCTTCCTTCCTTTCTTTCTTTGTTTCTTTCCAAGTTTTTCAAGACAGGTTTTCTCTGTGTAACATTGGTTGTCCTAACATAGTAACTCTAAATGTCTCTTATTCATTTCTAAGGACTCCTACATTTTAAATAGCTTACCCCATCACATTATACCATTCTCTATTGTGATATTTATGTATGTGTATGCAGAGATAGTCATGTATGTATATATGTATACATACACACAGATGCATAATTTAGGAGATTTCAGAATGTATGTACATGCATATACATGTAATATGACAGAGAGGTGACTGATTTGGTGTGTGTGTGTGTGTGTGTGTTTGTGTGTGTGTGTCTTTTGGAGACCAGGTCTTGCTATGAGTGCCTCTGGTTAGCCTGGAACTGACCTGGTAGCCCAAGCTGACCTTGGTTATGGTGATCCTCCTTCTGCTCCTGCCTTCCAAGTAAAGTTCTGGGGTCATAGGCTGTGTCAACATGCTGGACAAAAGAGTTTTAGAACAATTTCCCTTTGGGTGGGGAAGAGAGGGAAACACATGGAGAGTTTAAGAACTACAAAATATAGTACGGTGTTAAAATATCACCTTGCTTCAACCTTACTTCACTGTAACAGGGTTGTGGGAGACAGGGATGATCTCCTGATGCCCCTTATCTTATTGATGAGGAAACTGATGCTATCAGAACTTTCCTGAGATGGCGCACAGGAAGCTCAGGAGTAGAACCTCTATTTCTGCCTGAGTCTGTGCTCCTGCTTCCACTATGTCAACAGGACTCCATTGACTGATGCTGGAAAACAACTTTTTCCATCAGGATGGTAAAGGCCAGTCTGAGGTTATCTGACCAAGCACTGGTGGCTTTGTGGTCGGAGTGGAATGTCAGCTAAACACCATCCTGGCTCCTGGTCAGGTTCCACCCAATGGCAATAACTGAAACGCCTTGTGAATGGTTCCCTGTAGCTGTCCAAAAGCTAGGAAGGGGTCACATGAGGTCATCGGCCTGATGCCACGAGTGAGGTTCAAAGCAGGAAAGTTCAGATCTGGACACCATGGAATCCGTGAAGTCAAGGAAAAGCAAGATGAGCTGGAAATACTGGAGGGCAGTCTTAAAGGAATCTGGAAGACAAGTGGAAAATTGATGGCGCCAGAGGCAAGTTTAGAATGAAAGCACTAGCCAGGTGGGGTCAGATGGTGCCAAGCCTATATGTGGGGTCTGACCTGCAGTTTCTCTTGCTTAGACACTGATTAATTTTTAAGATATGCGAAGCACATTCTCCCCTTCACCCAAGTGCTACCTGTCATCTCACACTTACTAAGGTATGTTCTCTGCAAGCCTAGCCTTATTGTGTTTTCTTTTCACAGTTCTCAGTGTTACACAGGGAACAGGTGCAGTGCCCTAACATAAGCTGGCAACCCTCCTAGACTCACAAATATGAACATGGATAAATTCCAACCTGAAGTTATTTTGCAAGCAGGCTGAGTCAACAACTCTTGGGTATTGACTGGCCTTAGTCCTTTAGGAACTGACTCGACAAGTTCAGAAGGTCTTCAAAATAATGGGACTAAAACAGGGTTTGTGATTTCCACCAAGTGCTGGAGTCTACAGACTACAACTGCCTTAACGATTATCTTTTTGACATTTCTGATTGTCAGGAAGCTCCAGACTACACATCAAAAGTCTGACATTGGCAATGTCACAAATTGTGGAAACCCCTGCCTCTCTCAGGGAGAATTCCATAGGAAATTGTTCTGGGCAGGAGATGGCTGCCAGAAGCTGTGGATACGTCTGTATTTTAGCCTGTTTTCTGTTACTATACTAGAACACTCAAGATTGGGTAAATTGCTCAAGGTCCTGGGGTGGCAGGGGGATATGCTTTGCTTCACAATGTTTTTTAAACTTAATTTTAGTTTGGAGACAAAGGTTTTATGTACCAGAGGCTGGCCTTAAATTCCTGATTATCCTGTGTCTACCTTTAAGGTTCTTGGATTCTAGCCCTTACTGCCATGTCCATGGCTCACGGTTTTAGAGGCTGGGAAGCCTAATTCCAGCTTTTGCTTGAGGAGCTCATGCTGCTTCAAATTATAGCAGAAAAATACTATAAAAAGAGAGAGAAAGTAAAATCAAGCATTGGAAGACAGATGAATTTTTATACCACCTACTGGTGGTAACAGGTTGAGCCCCAGGAACAAAGGGAAGGCATTAATCTATTCACAAGAGTCTATTCCCATGATCTAAATGCCTCCCCAAGAATTGAAGTCACAACACATGAGCTTTTGGAGGGCACGGTCAAATCATAGCAGTTTGTTTCGTTACAAAGAGACTGGTTTTTGACTGGCCTTGAGGCAGACAGATTATCCTGTGTTATACCAGAGGGCCCAACACAATCACTGGGGTCAGGTATAATCTAGATCTTAAGTGAATCTAAACTCCACATGAAAAGTTTGATGCCTAATGTGTGAGGTGGTGGAACCTTTCAAAGGTGAGACTTCCTGGATAGTTTGTGAGTTATGAGTGTGCCTTGGAAAGGATAGTGGGATCCCCTCTCCAGCTAGTCTTCTTCCGGGCCATTGGACAAGCAGCTTTGTTCCATTGTATATGTATACTCCCACCATGCACTCCCACTGTGACGAACTCACTCTCTTAAAGCAATAGGTCCAACCAGCCATGGACTTGACACCTCCAAAACTGTGAACCAAAACAAAACTTTCTACTTACACGTTGATTTGTCTCAGGTATTGTTTGCATAGTAGCAAATGGCTGGATAATATGGAATCCTTGTAAGCAGAAGAGGGAAGAACACTGTGAGAAAGACTGCCTGGTTTTGCTTCTTTGGAAATGGAGGACTGGGTCTGTGAGCCAAGAAAGGCAAATGGCTTATAGGAGCCAAAAGATAAAACAGATTCTCCCCATGGGCCTCCAGAGGAACATTTCTCCAAATGCTGACACTTTAATTTTAGGTCAGGAAAGCTTGGTGTTTGCCTGTCCTTCCTTCCCTTCCTTCCAGTATTGGAAATGTCACAAGTCTT